TCTCAAGCTTTCTACCTCTCAACCTTTCTACATAAAGGTTTCACTTCCAAATCACTATTTGAAATATCCTACTGTGTCCTATCCATATATATGAACAAAACTCAGAACCTATTAAATTGATAGCTTTTAGAGTAAACAGCCACAGGATCAAAAAGCTGAGATAGTTTTTATTCTTGAAAACTCAAGAGCTGAACATTTCCTGCCATCATTAAGAAAAAAATGAGTCATTATTAAGTGGCTGAGAGAAGGAAGACGACTCAAAATCCTTCAAGCAGGATAGGGGTCTTTTTTCTTTCTTAAAAGACTCAGTGGTGTGTGCAAATCTTATCAAAATTAAATAAATAGGCACAAACAGTCTGTTAGAAATGGAGTACAAGTGTAGTTCCTTCTGAGATAATTCAGTCATTTTCTGATTTTAGCAGCTTTTTGGGGGTATTTACTATCTTACTTTTGACTATTCAGGAGAGCTAATGTTTCAGGGTTGCGACTGTTGACTTACTGGGATATCACACTCCTACACCACACGAAGTCACACCATGTCGTTCGATTCTTCTGCAGAGCTTAGCTTTGAGGGCAACCTGTGTTCGCAGCATGCCTAACTTTTCTTAACATAAATTATTTACACTTTTCTGTATTATATACCTTTCCTGCTTCCTTTTCACTTCCAGCTTTGCTACTGCTTTTATTGGCATACACTTTTGTTTTGCAGAGATGAAGAAAGGGGGCAAACTTTCAGCAAACCAGTGATGTGGATAATTCTCAAGTGCTGACAAATACACAAAATAAACACATTGTAAAGAAAACATTTTATTTCCTCATGTGCTGTTGCTTTCAGGCATTACACCAGTCATCTAGCCCACAGCTTAAAACAGCTTTCATCTATTATTAGGGAATAAGAATGACTCAAATGCTTCAGCTGAACCCACTGATCTCATTGATTTCAACATCTGTCAATGACAAAGAAGCTGGACTGGATAAACACTTCTAGTTTGTTACAATTACCTTTAGTAGTTCATTCTTCAATTTCTAAAAATCTTTTATTGTATGTTTTAACCTCTCGTGCAATTTAACTTTCATTCTTGTCTTCTGATTTTTTCCTTGAGGCTTGTTTATAAACTTAACTTAGTTCTATAATCCTTCTTTAATCTTTTTTTTTATTCTCAGTTACTTTTTGTGCTTGTTTGCTCATCAGTCTAGTTTTCTCTAAAAGTTCGTTCATTGTGGGAAGAGCCCCAGAGCAGTTGGGCATATATTAGTTATTTTGCATTCTCCATTTCCCCCCTGTACCCTTCCACTCTATTGCTCTATCCCATCCACTTCCCCCTGTGTTTTCCATGTCCCTCCAAGATTTATTCTGATTACTTGTGGCCTCTTTGTGTCCATCTATGTATGCCCACCATCCTACATACAAACATAAATTGTTTATGGTTACTGTTGTCTAGCTGCTTCTCCACCTTCACTGTACATCCCTAAGCATGCATCTGCTTTTCAAAATGTAACCATGCATTACTCCCTTCCCAATTTCCTCTTTCATGTTTTGTGTGCATCGTATTAGTCTTTCAGTATTTAATCCCAGTTTGTTTTCCCTGATTTTTCCTTCTGCTTAATGTTCTCTACTTCATGGTTTGGGTAGCTACTTGAAATCTGCGTTGCCTGTAGGGGTTTTACCTTTTAACAACCCTTTTACACGTATTTTATATTGTCATATCTTGTTACTTGTCTATTAATATTTAGCTTCCTTTTGTAAAACTGAATTTTAGGCCATGATTTTGCACACAGATATACTCTTTTTCTCTCTTAAATGCTTTGTAACGTCACTCACTTGAATTACTCATGTCAGATCTCAACTTGCTTCCATCAGTGGGAGGAGAGTAGGACTACTGTCTTAGATCAAATACTTCTGGTTTTGTTCATACAGAGTTTCCTTCATCTTGATATTGACCTTGAGTAAAGTAAGCAGGATTTGGTTCTCTGTCATTATGTACAATTGCTCTCTGCTTTATTTCCTTTCATCAAACTGCTCATTAACCTCACAATACTTCTGCCTTTTGTCAAATTTTGAACTAACCCGCTATCTTATTTAGTCCCTTTTCATACACACATCCATAGTTCTAACTTTTGAGACTTTCTTGTACACAGATCTTAAAATATCCCTCCTCTGGGCTTCTTATTGCAATCTAGGGGTTTGTTTTAGCTGTAGATGTTTCCAAACTTTCTGCTGTCAGCTCTCATAGAGTTTGTAGAAGTATTTTATCAGTATGTAAAGGAATTAATTTCCCTGAACTCAGTGTAAAAGAAATAATGTGGTTAGTTAGAGAAAATTTACCCCTTTCACTTTTCTCTTTGGACTCCCCCCATCCCCATTTTTTTTCCTTAACTAGTACAATATTCGTGTGTACAGGGCTTTATTGTCTTCTTTGATGTTTTGATTCGTTTTAGCATTACTTTATGTAGCATGATAGGCATATGGAATGCAGTAAGGGGGGATTATCGCAGGTAAGCTAAGATGGATGATAACACAGCTGAGCCTTCTCAGACCATGTATTGTCAGGGGTCTGCTGATAACAAATCTACTTTTTTCCTTGGTCTGCAGGGTTGGCTTCCAGCACAAATATTTTTTATTTTTCACTATATGGCATAGGACAGGAAAAGAATTTGGTGCGAAGGGAGCTGAGAGTTGAGCTCCTTGCTGTGGTTCGAAGTCTGTGATTTCTTGAGCACCATCTGCACCGTTTCCCAACCAGTGTGTCGCTGGTAGACACAACAGTTCCTCGTGGACAAAAGACTTAACAAGATGGTGTTCCTGTCTTGTCATCATGGTGCTCTGAAGAGCGCAGAGTGCTGCTCTCCACTGGCGACCTGCAGGTCTCCTCAAACCACGGAGCTCCCTGACCTGCATAATCCTGCTCATCAGGCTCCTGCTGGATGAGATGCTGGTGTCTTGTACTCAAGAACAAATAGACAGGAGCTCAGCGAAAGATGAAGAAAAAATCCCCAACAATACTCAGAGATGCTTAGTTCATAGGTCTGGTAAGTGCAGAACATCTGTGGAAGGAAGTCTCTTCCTGTTGGAAATACGAGTGTTTCTCTGACAGCTCTGCAGAGGTACAGACACTGTGAAATCAGTTGGCTGCTATTTCTCTGAAAAAGCAGCTCAAACACTATGAGTTATGCTTCACAGTCTGACACTCCAATACCCAGTTTATAGGACAGGAAACAGAACCAATGCCCATCAACAGTGAAATATACTGATTTAATTTAATTGGATTTTAATGCCTGCCCCGCATTACCTTTCCCTATTGTACCTTGTTTGCTTGCCTGTAACTCATGTACACACTTTAGAAATCCCTAATGTACAGTTACTCCTGCTCACCTCAACAGGCATGAAACACACAAACAGCAGGGCACCCGCTCCATTTATAGCATATGGCCGACTAGCCAAGGTTTTCCCCAAGTGATTAATGACACTGGAGTCTGAAGTGCCTGTCCAGAAATACTTTAAGAAATGCCTTTTTTTTTAATAAAAAAAATGCCATCTTCTGCCTCCCCTGCATATCTGAAAAATTGAAGTGCCTAGAAGCATGAGGTATTTCTGAAAAATCCTGCCCAATTGCCACGTTAGGTACACAAAATACGCTGTAAATCCTAATTCTTTTTTTAATGAGAAACAGTAACATGGTTAGAATAAACACTTGTTAGTTGAGTAGACAAGCGATGACAGCAGTTTCTTTTAAACAATCCCATTCACAATAAAGGTTAAATCACTTAACTGTAAATTTTAATTTTTTGTGTATATATGTATTTTTAGATATTATTGTATTCTAAAAAAAAATTAGCATGTAAGAAGTCTTCTGTGGAGACAATAATGTACTGTGGTACATCATAAAAACTGATGCTCTGGTAGTTCCCCCTTGCATGAACAGACTGCCATGCTTCTTGAACTATCTTGCTGAACTAATGAGCCTGCGTATGTTAACAGTTAGGCATTAGTCTCATAGTTCTGAATATACCAAAATGCTGATTAAATGTCTCTATTGCCAGTCTCTTTCAAAGTTACCATCACAAAACCCCAAATACATTAATGTTCCATAACCAATCCTCTGGTTTGAGATTATTGTTATTCCTCATCGATAACATGTCGTTTCCCCAAGGGATGTGCTGAGATTAACACCAGTTGAGGATAATTAGTATCTGATAAACTTTCATAAGTTAGTGTGCTTTAATAGGGTACTGTATGGCATTAATTGTATTTACAAGTGCCGATTTTATTGCATATGTCAAATGAATCTGCATAAATTTTCTGTAGTGGAAAATTATGGGAGGATAACAACATCTAAAGTAGGTGGTCCTTTTTTTAACTAGTAGATTGCTTTTTACTTAGGAAAGGGTGAAAAGGGAGATTAAAGATAAAAAAAAAGGACAAAGATATTTCTGAATTTTAAAAAATTACTATTGCATTTGTACTTACTGAGTGAGTCACTTTGCAGACACAGGGCATCAATGTGTTCACACTGAAGGAAGCGTACCTTATGAAGTGGCTGTTACACTTCACCTTGAGAGAGATGTGCTTTCTTTTTGGTAATTATAATACATGTGTTCAGATGGCAAGTCTTGTCCTTCCTAATGCTGCTAAAAGAATATTTCAAAATAAACCTCACATTGAACTGAACAGCTGGAGTAACCCCATTCTTGAGGACTTTGTAAATACGCTTCTTTTTCCTATCTTGTAATGAATTGCACTTTTTTTCAGCTGTGGCAAATGGAAGACAAAGAGTCTCGTTTCTTTGTAGTATATATAATTTCACCTCATAGACTTTTTTTTTCCTTCTTTTCATTCTTTCTGTTTGAAGTCTGGAAGTCTTTTTTTTCCCCCTTCAGGCTTTACAATGCTGAAGACCTTGGGGATAATTTAAGCACTCTGCCACTAGTTTCAATTGTAGCACCTTGTCACAAAAAAAGCAGGTTCTGTAGGCACGATAGAGCTCACAAGAAATACTCACCTGGTAAAGTGACAGGCGTTAGCTGTGGCAAAGCTCTGCCAGGCCGCCTTTCGCCTTGCTGCCAGAAGGCAGCGCAGCCCAGCGCGCTGGCTCCTCCTGCGCTGGATGGCCTGCTCGCCTCCCCCTGAGGGGCCAAAATACGCTTCAGGAAAGTGACGGCCAGGGGAAGGAAAGTTGCCATGACAGAGCTACATTTGACGGATTCTCTAATATGCGTTAAAGCAATAATATTTTAGCTGCCGGTCATAGTTACTGAGAAGAGGGGAGCGAAGGGACAGAGTGAAAAAGCACGAGTGTGGTACAAATGGAGGGAAAGGGGGTGCGCCACAGCGAGGCCTGGCTGTCTCACCATCCCCCTTCCTCCTCACTGAAACTAGAGTACGGCCCAGGACTTGGAAGAGATTCGCATCTTGTGACTTCCCATACCCTGCCAGCGTCTGGAGAGAGCTGCAGCGATCTGGAAGCTTAACGTATGGGGACTCTTAACTTAGCCTTCTGAGAGGCATACTTTCAGATCCTGATATCTAGGGTTTAAACTCTGAATGAGCCTTTGAAGACACCCTGCTAGGTGTTGCAGCTGGCAAAATGCCATGGTGCAGAACATAACCTGCAGCAGAGAGGCTGATTTCACCCAGCCAAGCGCTGGCAATAGCAGCTGTGATGGAGCAGGCTGCTCTGCACTCGGCAGCTGAGTTTGAGATGGTGAAGACTAGGATGAAGAGACATAAAAGTGATCATGCTTTGGTTCTAGATGAATCATGAAGAAATTGGAATGAGTCAGGAATGTCTTGGGAATGCCAGATCTCATCCTTAGCAAGCCAGACTGCCCAGAGCAGTCATTCATCCATTCTGCTCAGGTTTGGTAACTTCATTTCATTATCACAAGAGGTCTTTCTCTCTTCTCACATAGAAAGTGTTTGTGGTATAGACACTACAACTCTGCAGAGCCTTGGTGTCAGTCAGAATAGATTGACATTGCTGTGCCAGGCTGTCACAGGCTATGTAAAAAACTTAAAAAGTAGGTCACTATAAGGAACTCGGATGCTGGTAGGTAGATTCTCGGTAGATTCTCTGAGGCATACGTTGGAAAAGAGTCTATCTGTCGGTATTATGAATAGTGGAACTGAAAGAAGTTATTCCAAGAGCAATGCACTAGGAATAACTTTTTTGGTTAAATGTAGGATATGCCTTAGATCAATGAGTTCTGTCATGATGTAGGAGTTACTTGGTGAAATTCTATAGCTTGTGCAATAAAGGAGGCTGAGGTGACTAGACGATTATAATAGTCCACTTTGACCTTAAAACTTATGCATTTAGGAAACAAGTTTTCCAATCTGAGACATAGAAGGCTATATTTTCAAAAAGAATCTGCAAGGCTGCGTATGCCTTTCTGAAAGCGTCTTGACATGTTTCATTTTCTCCCTGTTAGAAAGGCTGATTGTCATTCCATTATAATTTCTACTTTGTTACTATTAATGTTAAGAGCCTGATTTTGGTATATTAGATACATTCATTTATTAGGCTTTATATATAGCTATATGCCTGTCAAACACTGAATATAACAGGCAAATGAGTAGAGAAAGTAAAGCAAAAATCATGTCCTTTCTTTTGCTATTCCTGTTAACACTGACAGATATTTTGGAGACTCAGAAACCTAAAATAGACCTTCTTTACAGATTGTGCTACCCACCTTCTTTGCTTGATTCAGTAGGCTTGATTCTTCGCTTGGTTCAGTAGGCTTCCTTCCACTGATTCACTGCTCTTTGGATCAACCCCATATTGCATTTTATGACTGCCAGCTAAGTAATGTTGGGGTACACTGTTCTCCAAGAGAACAGTGAAGTGTTCAGATAGGTCTTACAAATGGGGTCGAAACAAAGGAAAAAAAAGTAAAAGCTTGCTTCAGAGGAGAAAGGCAGTAAGACCGCCTCCCTTTTGGAATTAGTACCTAGCAGGCTATAAATTGGCTTGCATCAGCCAAGTACAGCACAAAATGTACTGCACAGAAGAGCAGCTATTATGTACAGTAGCCACTTCACTGATTGCAATCAATGTCACAAATTAGAGTGATTTCATGGCTTGAGATGTGTCAGAGCTAAAGTTTCTGTTGTGAGTCATGCTGTCTGGACATCCAGCTTCTAGGCACTCTGTCTTACCCTCAGCAATTTTCACTTTTTGTCTTTCATTTTTTGCAAATGGATCTGTGTTCGCTTTTACTATGTAAGCATAGACTGCTCATAATTGCATCCAAGTGGCATTCAATATTAAAAAGAAGCTCCCATCATTGCTTCTTTAGCTCATATTGAAATATATCTTTTTTTTTTTCTTTTTTCCCCAGCAGCAGAATTTCTGTTCAGAAGTGGCAGATCTTCGTCAACATTATCCAGAAGTTTGAGCTGATATTTTAATACGCCTCTTGTTGCCTTGTGCCTTTCCCAAATGCCTGATGATGGCTTTTCCATTCCAGTCAAACGTTGTCCTAATTTTCATGCCATGCTTTGAACACCCCTTCTGCTGCATCCATTTGATTAAATCCAATTGTAAAAGCAATGTTTTGCACACTGTTTCGTGTATAGTTTTTATATTTTGCCAGGTGGGACTTCAGCATTCACACAAGGACAAATACACAGCTTCTCTCTGCACTGAAGTAGTATGGTGTAATCAGAAACATTTGGTCTATACAGGGAGGTTAGTGAGGAACTGCTTTCTTTTACCTTGCAGCAATGCACTGTTTCAGTGGATTAAGAGCATCCACATCCATAGCATTAATGAATTGTAGCTGGTACACTGTAAATTTATGCTTCAGCCTACCTGTTGCTCAATAATTTATGTAAGAGATCCCTGACATTTTTTAATGGGGAACAAGTAAATAAATTGTAACTAAGCCTTCACATCAAAAGGCAACAAAGGGAAGTTAAGCGTAATTATTTATTTGAATGAAAGGGTCAGCACTTTGGTGTTGGATTAACTATTATTGAAGTAAGTGGAGAATGGTGAGATAGATAAACAACATAATTAATTTCCTAATAATTTAAGAATCCTTAGGTGTGGGTCTGTCTGTACTACAGAGTTAACCTGAGTGCTTGCTTGCCTTAGCTTTTCTCCCAGAGTTACTTCTTCCACTTTTAAGGATGCTTACAGTAGGTGGAGGTCTACTCTAGAGCTTTGAGCTCATTTTCACTAGATCTCAATGTGCCCACTTGAAAGAAGGATGCATAAATCATTCTTCTCATGACAGATTTTCCACTGCTTTTCCATAGTAATTAATATCTCCTGAAAGTGGTGCAACTTCCTTTGCAATTCACTGTGGAGATTTCTGGAGTAATCTCCTCATTACAAAGCAAAGAGCCATGGGGGACAGCCTAGAACATTTAGTGAGGCATATGGAGGAGTGTTGAACCAAAAGGAAAAGGTTATCTCCTTGTTATTATAGCAACTGTTGCTCTAATGAAAGGCGTGTATGCTTCCCAGACTAGCTCCAGAGCTGCTGGTATATCTTCTCAACAGCTTGCAGCACGTTCTCAAGATCCTAGCCTGGGTAGCAGATGTCTAGCTGGCTTCAGTGCCATGCTGGTGGAATGCTTTCACTTCTTGTTCCGAACATGGTTGGGCTGGGCAGAGAGATGGCTGGGCACCCTCCCTGCTGCAGCAGAGTGGGGACTAAGCTGAGCTGAGCATGCCACCTGGTTACCTGCACGAATTCTGCCATGAAGATCTGACCATATAATGCCATTGGCATGGATGGGAATAGGATCTAGTCTCTTTACCTATCCACTGGACTGCACTGTGTTGTCAATTTAATGACACTTTTTTCTTCTAGCCTTGTTATTACCTTTCACAGATGTTCATCACAGTTATAGGTCTCCATCTCCTGTAGTTGTTTTTTTTTCTTTTTTCAGTGGCATGAGCTCTAGTGTCACAGATATTACAGGTACATTTCATTGAATTATAAGAGCTAAAAACCCGATCCATTGATTAAGAATGTTGTATTTCATTTGCTAAGAGAAAATCAGCAGCATCATAGGACGCCATTGTTTGGTCCAGAAGTAGCTTCTCATGTTCTCTAATCTGTGAATAAAATTTTTAGGAACATTTGACATATAAGCCATTTTCCCCAATATAACTTGAATCAAAGTTTAATGATGCTACCAGTCTTCAGCTGACTTGCCCAACCCCTACACTTTAGCATGTAAGTGAGAAGAAAAATTAAAAAGCAATGCATAAGGGAGAGCCAGACCATTGCCCATTGTACAAAGGTTTGGAAAGGAACTCTTTATGCAAACAGCTGTCACTGGCCACAGGAAAGCAGGGTGATGACACTGCGCAATTGCACTCCTACCTCTCTTGAGCTCTTGATTTCTGAAGGACTCTGTGGATCTGGGAATCTACTAATGAGAATGAAAAAGGAATGGACTGGGAGAAATACATTACACTGTCTTCTGGCAGAATGTGGTAATTTCCTGAAGCAGATTAAAAGAGAGGATTAGCAGAACATGGCTCAGAAAGTTTAAATGGTGTGGTGATGTGGATCAAAATCCAGAAGACCATTTTACAACCTCTTAGAAATAGAGGAGGGCGGGAGAAGGGTGAGATGGGATGCAGAATGCAGCCCCAAATAAAAACCGTAACAAGAAGTATGTGAGAAACATTTCCTTTATTTCTTCCTTACAAGGTTTAGAACTGTCTTCCTCACTAGTCAAGGCTTGTCTACCTTATTATTGACAGACGATAGCTAGCAATAGTGCAATTCTTTAGCCTTGCATGAATTTTGGGGTCACTTTTACCTGAACACAAGTGTCCATGGAGGAACACGCTTGTTCTAGAGCAGGTCTTGACAATTTCCAGAGGCAAGATCCAAATTCCAATCTGTGGCTTGATCAGATTGTTCCTGCCTCTTTGTTTCCTGGTGTACAGGGGACATTATTAGGCAACAGATAGTCGTATTCAGAAGTGAAGACATAAAATAAGAATATCACTGCTTTTAAACAGGTACTTCTGAGCTTGTGGATAAGGCTGTAATTGCATAGGGAAGTTTCCTTGGGATCTTCTGTCATTGTTTTGGTTAGATTAGTTTATCAAGAACTGTAATCCAATATAAAGAGAATATACAATCAGTGTGGCTCCTAAGAGGTGGTGTTACACAGTCATCCACATAATTTCCAGCTTGAATGCTGTGTTAGG